AAGAACAAATAAATCAGAGGCTGTCACTGACTTGCTGACTGTAAGATCAATGGTTCAAACCCACCAGCTGCTCCTTGGAAACCCTATACAGAGTTGCTGTATGTTGGAACCAACTTCACAGCACTTATCAACAATAACAACAAGGGGTCACCAGCGGGTCCAGGCAAGAAAAAATGATCCTAAGGAACTCATCACTGCTACAAAACCAGCACAAAGCATTGTGGCATAACAAGGTGAATCAGATTAAATATAAAAAACAGTTGCAGATCTGCTATTCATGACATTTACAAATTCTGTTTTCACATCCATAACAGTTACAAATAGCCTATTATGTATTATTTCTCATATGATAATTATCTATATAATAGTATCAGCAGTACGCCCAAAAATATTTACAGATACTATATGATTTCTAGGATTTTCTTCAAAATAATAGTTGTTGTTGTTAAGTGTTGTTGAGTCAGTTTCAACTCATAGCCACCCTGTGTAGTATTTCCGAGGAGCAGCTGGTGAACTTCAACTGCCAAACTTGCAGTTCAAACCTACTTTCCCATCCAGTGCATTAACCCACAGTGTCACAAGGCAGCAAGACCGGCCAGTCTTAATGACTACTACTGAAGCTGGGTGATGGATGCATTAGGTTTACCATACTACTCTATTTTTGTTTGTATTTGCAATTTCCATAATAAAAAGTTGAAAATACAAATAAATACGATTAAGAAATGATTTTACCCATCTTCTCAACATTATATGTTATCTTTGATCACTGACAATGTAGACAATACAGCAAAATAAGTTTAAAAATCTTGATAACATTTGAAGGGGTATTCTGTGTAATGGAATATAATTATCTTCTGCAAGACAGTGACTCCACCTAACACTTCAACATCATGAATGTAGTTTGGCCTGCCAGACATGAAATTCTTTCCCCAACTTATCAAAATGAGAACGTATCCAAGAAACTGTCATTCATACAAGGTCAACAGGCTAAACTACGAAATTACTGTTGATTCTCAAACGCAGTCAACTTCATTAGCAGACAACGAATTAAGTCACGTCTAACTTACCGCAGTCTACTGTTAAACCTGTAAGGCAATGTCATCATCACGTACTTAAAATAGATTCAAATCCAAATACCTCAAATCACACTTTACAAAGTATTTGGCAAAATTTATGATAGAGGCAAAGGTGTATTCCAGTGAAGCAAAGAGGGTCTGGAATGGTTGAACAGAAGTAAGTCAACATCCTCAGAAAGAACAAAACAAAACAGGTTTCTCAACACTGGCTATAAGCCTCCAAAGACCTTTCAGAATTGGTGTTTCTGCAAGTTTGGATATACAAGCTTTGTTTCAAAATACAAAAAGAAGATTTTAAAAAATAAAGCTGAAGGGAACCTAAGAGGCCAGCCTTCCTGTGCAATCTGCCATGATGCCAAATTCAAGTTGGACACATATTGTACTACCAATCCAGGCCATAAAGGCAAACTTTGGTTTGTAAATGTGAATGAATCACACAATTTTCTATCACATTTCAGTGGCTCTAGGGCCAACTCAATTTGATCAACCAGAACAAACAGAAGCCAGAACAGTCTTATGTGACAACCAGAGTATCATGCTCCTATTGCCTGGGTAATATACCAACTAAATGTACTTCTAAAGCCTCTTAAATATGTATATTCTTTGACCAAGCCATTTTACAACTAGAAATTTTTACTAAGACATAGTTGAAAATGTATGTAAAAGAAACTTTAGTAAATAAAACTTATAAACTGCTTTAAGGATCATGAGTTAGGCAATTAACTAAATTATGGTCCAGTCATACAATTATATTCTATGTGAATATTAAAAATATTTACTGATATAGTTATAACATTGTATGAAAGAGCACATTACAAAATTATATTTAAAATATTAATCCATATTTGTTATATATATGTGTGCCTTTGAACATATATGTATAACTTTGTGAACTTCCATAGATCTAAGGAGTCGTGGTGTGGCACTGTGGGTTAATGCGCCAAACTGCAAAGCTGTTTGAACTTCAAGGTCGGCAGTTCAAGCTTACCAGCTGTTCCTCGGAAACCCTATACTGGGTTTCTATGGGTTGGAACCGACTCGACAGCACTTAACAACAACACAGATCTAAGAATATGATATAGCAGGAGGATATGTGGGTACATAAGCATGTGCATGTGCACATATGCAAAAGTGCATGCAAGTGCAGTCAGGTGTCTATAGAATTGCACACAGGTATACAAAGATGAGTCTGTATATGCATGCATGGGTACTTCAGAGTATATATTTATGCATACATATCTGCTAATGCATATATCTATATTTGAAGCACACTGGCCTATGTTTTCAGTACGTGTGTGTAATCACTAGTTAGAAGTGTTATGGCCTTGACATTTCTAAGTCTCTACTTAGAAGTGTTATGGCCTTAGACATTTCTAAGTCTCTTTGAGTCTTGATTTTCTCATCTATGCAATGAGAAGAATCGTAGCTGTTTCATGAGGGTTTTGTGAGGATTAAATAGGATATGGAGGTAAAGCATTTAGTAGTGTGCCTGGTGCATAGTAAATGCTCAATCAATATTAGCTGTCCTATATGCATATACAGAGTCCTGGTGTGGTGCTGTGGGTTTAATGCACCATACTGCAAAGCAAGGTCAGCAGTTCAAGCTCACCTTGGCAACCCTATACAGGGTCGCTATGGGTCAGAACCGACTCAACAGCACTTAACACCAACAGCAACATATGCATATACATGGAGCTCTGGTAGCGTAGTGGTTATGAGTCAGGCTGCTAACCTCAAGGTCAGCAGTTGGAAACTACCAGCTGTTCCACAGAAAGATGAGGCTTTCTGCGCCCATAAAGATTTACAGCCTCAAAAACCCTATACAGGGTCACTATGAGTTAGAACCAACTCCACAGCACACTACCACCATATGCATATACACGATGTATGTTTGTGTATAGGCATCTTAGTGTAGCACTGTAAGATAAACATTAGACTGCTAACCGGAAGGTCAGCAGTTCAAACTCACCAGCCACTCCTTAGAAACCCTATGCTGTTGTTGTTAAGCGCTGTTGAGTCTGTTCCTGACCATACTATTTGTGGGAACCAACTCGACAGCACTTAATAAAAATAACAACATGTGTGTGCATATTTACACAGTCCACAAAGATACACATAAAAATATTCACTTCGTTATCTATGGATAATAGACTTGTTTGGGTTGGTATGGGACTTGGTTTTTTTGTTTTGTTTTTCAGTTTTGCTTATAGATATTTTTATAATTCTCCTAGGAAGATTATTTCTTCAAAATGCTGACAATATAAAAAAGAATAAAGATGGTTTATCCTCAATATACCTTCTCAATCTTGCATATCGAAAGCTATGAAGTACTGCACCAAGATATACATAATTTTGATACTCTACCAAATTTTTTTTGTATTCTAGCAGTATGTTAGTATTACCTAATAGCTCAAGAAGATGGCAGTACAAAGAAAAAAAACACAGCTTTTTGCTTATTTGTCTTATCCCAGTCAGGATGAAAAAAAAAATGAATCAGATGACACTACTGAGGATTAGTTAATGTGCACACACCTTAGTTAGAGGTACATGACATCTGTCATTTCCAAGTTATTAACTGAGGCAGTAATGAACCGAGAGCCTTGCCCAAGGTCACACAAAAAAGCATGTGCCAAACCTCAGGCTGTGAAGAGATCAAAAGGCTTGACTGCATGGCCATAATTTGGGCGTATGTACGAAATCAAGAAGCTAAATTCTTAAGCAGTCATCTCCAGAGTCTAGTCGGAGGGAGAAGGAAATTGCAACACAAGGCTGAAGACAGCAAAAAAACACCAGTAACTGGCCACTCTATCGTTAACCTACATGCTTTGATCATACTGCTTTCTCTTATGTCTAAAACATTAAATTGTACATCATCTAAAATAAGGCGCTTGATTCCATAAATCAACACGATTGACACGACACTGAAATGTAAATGACACTGAAAGCATTTTGAAATATGACAAAACTCAAGCGGTTCCAATTAACATCAGTTACTACCTGGCTCCATTCCCATAATTACGATGTGTTACATTAAATACCTCTTAACAACCCTGCAGCAGGTCCCTCTAAATTTCCAGGGGAAACCCGGCTACAGATAGTAGCGAGAAAAACAAGCAGCTGTTTTCCCTGAGGCCTCAATTTACAAATCATACCTGAGATAACAATCTAATCATGCCCTATACATTTCCTCCCCAGCAATGCTATTCAATCTCTTAAAAAGTCATTTCCCGGCGTTTGAAACACACACACAAACACGCACGCGCCCAGCAGCCCTCCCTGTAGCTCGACATTTTGAGGCATCACCTCAGCTAAACATCGCCTTTTCAAAAATCTACCGCTAACTGCAGGCTGGTCTCCTATCTCATCTTTTAACTTTTGTCTTAAACCAGAGGGGAGAGGTTTGAGTTTCGACAAACAGAAATAACACTCTGAAACCTTGAGTAATCGCATCTCGCTACGGGGAACTGTCAGCGGAGGCAACCACACTATTTTAATCTTCTTCCACCCAGTTTCCATTCCCATTTTATTACTTTTTACCTTTTCCAATGGCATCAAACCAAGGCGTAAAGAGGGAATGAAATTAACAGATCTCTGAGACCCCTAATATCTCAAAGTATCGATGATTCCTAAGGGTCGTGGGTTCTAACTCACGCACCCGCCCACCCCGGGAAATGCGGTAAACCAGGCCGGACGGAGGTTTTACCACCACCACCACCCTCGGGTCCCGCCTGGGGGCGCCGAGGGACGCACCCGGCCCGCGGCAGCGTCGGCGTCGGATCCAAGGCCGGCCCGCCAGACCCGCCCAGGCCCAGTGAGGCCTGCCAAGCCCTGACATCGCGTTGGCAGTAGTCTGGGCCAGCGCGGCTCGAGGCGGCCGGCTGTCGGCTGAAGCGGAGGCCCGGACGGGACCGGAGAGTCGCTCACCTGTTGGTACCGGCTGCCGCAGGCCGGCTCGACCGCCGCCAGCGCCGCCGCTGCCAACGCCATGGCGCAGCCGGTCACGGTGAAGGAAGGCGAATTAGCTAGCGAGCTGTGGAGGAGCTGTGGCCTAGGAGCGCCGGGAGGCCAAGGGAGACGCGCCTCGGTGGGTCTCAATAGCCGCCGCGGTCCCCGGGCTGGACGTTCCTCTCCCGCTGCTAGTGCCGCCGCTGCCGCCGAGGCTCGGACGCGGCCCCTAGGGAGGAGGCGGGGACCACGACGACGACGACGACGACGCTGCGCCGCCGCCCCGCCCCCGACTCCCGCCCTGCGCCACCGCCCTAGCGCCGCCCGGCGAGGCCTTGCCCAGCTTTGCGGCCTCGTGGCCGTCCCTCCCAGAATGGGGCCCGTCCCTCCAAGCTGCACCTCTGAAGGTGAAGTGTTGGATTTGATTCCACTCAAACACAACTGCTGACCAGCTAATCGCCAGATAAAGCAATACTGGTACTGAGCCCCTTGTGCCAGGCACTTACTTCACCTACATTCTGCCCTTTAGCCATCAACCCCATGACAGAGCCCAATTTTAGAGGAAGTCGTTTGTGCACAGAGATGACAATCTTGTACAATCTCATTCCTGATCTCTGCCTGCAGAATCTTGATTTTTATCTCGTAGATCAGGGGTCAGTCAATGGTGGCACAGGAGACGAATCAGGTCTGAAATTGTGACCGTGAAAAATATTGATGTTGTTAGTCGATTCCGACTCATAACGACCCCTATATAGGGTTTCCAAAGAGCTGCTGGTGAGTTTGAACCACCGACCTTGTGGACCAAACCTACTTAGAGGTCCAGTGCTTTTCCCACGGCACCACTTGAAATTCACATTTCATTGTCACTGTATAAAGTTTTATTGGAACACAACCGCTACCACTTGTTTAGCATGACTCACAAGGCCTAAAATACTTACTATCTGACCTTTACAGGACAGTTTGCTGACCCTAGATCCACGGGACCTAGATCTGAGGCCCCTTGTATCCCAAAGCCTAGGATAATATCTTATGTGATGCTGTAGAATAAGCACTGGACGTCTAACCGCATCGTGGCTTGTTCAAACCTACCAGCTGCCCCTCAGAAACCGTTTAAAGGATCTCTAAGTCAGAATTCACAGCGCCTAAAGTTCACCAGCTGTTCCTTGGAAACCCTATACAAGGTCTCTATGGGTTGTAATTGACTCGAGGGCCGAGGGCACTTACCAACAACAACAGCGATCATAGGAAAGGAGTTCTGGTAGCATAGTGGTTACAAATCGGGATGCTAATCTCACGGTCAGCAGTTCAAAACTACTAGCTGTTCCACGGGGGAAAGATGAGGCTTTCTGCTCCAGTAAAGATTTACAGCCTCAGAAACCCTGTACAAGAGTTGCTATGAGCCAGAACCGGATCCAGGCACATAACAATAACAACAACAATCATAGGAAAGAAAAAGAAGAAAACCCTTAGCAAGGAGAGGATTGACAAAGTAACTGCTATGATGGGCTCAAACAGAGGAACAGTGTTTCATTCCATTGTACATACGGTGGCTATGAGTCAAACCAATTCTAGGGCACCTAACAAGAGCACAGCCTTTGATATGGATTATATTTCAATGTAAAGAAAACAAAAATCCTCACCACTGGACCTCTAAAAAAACATTCTTATCAAAGAAGAAAAGATTGAAGTTGTCAAGGACTTCATTCTTCTTGGATCAACTATCAACACTCACGGAAGCAACAGTCAGGAAATCAAATGACGTATTGCGTTAGGCAAATCTGCTGCACAAGACCTTTTTAAAGTATTGAAGAGCAAGTATGTCAGCTTGAGGATTAAGGTGCGCCTGACCTAAGTCATGGTATTTTCAATAACTTCATATCCATGTGAAAGCTGCACAGTGAATAGGGAAGACTGCAGAAGAACTGATGCTTTTGAGTTATGGTGTTGGAGGAGAATATTGAAAGTGCCAAAAGAACCGTTTTGGAAGAAGTGCAGCCAGAATGCTCCTGGGAGGCCAAGATGGCCAAACTTCGTCTCTCATACTTCGGACATATTGTCAGGAGGGACCAGTCACTGGAGAAGGATCTCATGTTTGGTAAGGTGGAGGGTCAGAGAAAAAGAGGAAGACCCCCAACGAGATGGATTGGCCAAGTGGCAGCATCGATGGACTCAAGCGTGGCAACAGTAGTGAGGCTGGCCCAAGAACAGGCAGTGTTTCATTCTGTTGTTCATAATGTCGCTATGGGTCAGTACTGACTCAATGGCACTTAACAACAAGAAGTGTTTTAACTGCCTCATATGAGGATCCAAGGGCCATACTTTCTGAATCAAACTATCTCAAGAGCTGACAAGTAACCCAAAACTTGAAAGATTTAGCCTTACAGAAAGTTTTACAAAGAACAGGAACAAATACAAAGGCAATGAAATAGGAAAGAGCTTGCTTACCTGGTATAAAGGAGATACAATTTTTTTCCCATTTAAGGGGAATTATACCTGGAGAGATTAAATATTTTACCCAAGGTTACACATGCAAGTCTATAAAACCATTATAACACAACTCTATTCTATATTATAGCATCTAGATGGATTGACACAGTGACAGAAGCAATGGGCTCAAGTGTAGCAATGATTGTGAGATTCTCACATAACCAGGCAGTTTCGTTCTGTTGTGCATATGAATCAGTACTGACTGGACTGCACCTAACAAGAACAACAAAGCTCCGTATACTAGAGAAGGCATTCATGGTCCCTTGTTTCTTTCTATCACACCCAGACATCTAAAATTCCTTGTACCATGTGTCCAACAAAGAAAAAGACGTGATCTTCTCCAGCTTGTGATACCCATTTCTTCTTGATTGTCTTTCCAATTGTCTTTTTTGATTGTCTTAGTAGTCTATGGTTGGTATTAATATGATTATTATTTTAGTTTCTAATATTCAAGTGTAGTTAACAATGTATTTTAAAACATAGTTCTGTTGTAAATACACCCTAAGTTTTCTATATACAAAAGCAAACCAGAGTCCATACAAATTATAGATGTTCATCTCCCATTTTAAATTCTGTATCAGTCTCCAGATGCCTACATGTGTGTTGCTACTTCCAAGTTCCTAGTCTCATATATTCATATGCTGGGGAAACGAACAAATCCAGCAACATGCCAAGCTGAAAGGTCTCAAAGTAAAACATTCAAGTCTCATATTTTCCCATCTTTACTCTCGACTCCATGGCACATAACAACAACAACTCTGTTCCTCTGTCATTTAATCCAAAAAGCAATCATTGAAGCAATAAAATTCAGTGCATCTTTCTAAATATTCTTGCTTATGGTCTCTAAATAGTGGGGAAGGGGAGAAACGTAGAAATACAGCCTTCTTTGCCCAAATTGTACAAACTTACATGTAATAAGGAATAAAAAAGAAAATGTTTGTCCTGTCTCCTAGGGTTATTAGAGCAGTAACAGCCATCTTTATCCATGTGGGCAGCTCTGTGACTTTTTGTGGAAAAGAAAGTACTTCATCTTCCATTTACTTCTTTTCAGAATTATTTTCACCTTCAACATATATACATACATTCCCTGCATGTGGACACAAACATTCAAAATATTCTCTCTGGGAAGAAAAAAAAAAAATTGATCAATTTCCAATCTCCCAGTCCTACTACTGCTCTGATGTTCTCAACCATTATTTACAAGGACTTTGTCATGTTTGGCCTTTGTTTCTCCAAGTTTCCCAAAGTCTTAAGTAAGTAAATTGAAATTATTTGTCTCGATTCAATGGGTGGATAAATTGGAGAATTGAGTCATTGCTAAAGAAGGTTGCTAAAAAAGTTGGCAAGCAAATTTTACAGTGAAGGGGGAAACTGAATTTTTGGCTCACAGCTCCATGCCTGGGGCAAACCAAGCAGATAGAGAAGATAATCCAAGGCTGTAAAAATTACACCCTTTAGATTCATCTTGAGATGTTGTCAAGAGAGCTTCCATGGGGAAAGTTATTAATTTCATATTGCTGTGCTTAGAAACTTATTTCCCCATAGAATAACAGTAATACTTTCCATGTGCAATGCTTTTTATGGGAATTGCTGACTCTGAATCATCCATTCTGAGAGAGAAGAGAAATAATACAGACAAGAAGGAGCACAGTTTATATTTGTATTTCTTTTCTCCAGTTTAGATAAAAATCTCCTCCAAGATATGTATGGTCTTCTGTCTTTAACTGCCATATGACCCATAAAATCTTTCAATGGTCCCCCTTCTGGCCTAAGCAGAGCTGAGCTCAAAGCATGACCAAGAAGTGTTTGTCAAAATTATTCAAAGCCTCATTAGTTTAATACCTCTTTTGAGGCCTTGAACTTCTCCAGCTAGTCTTTACAGAACTCCAATTGGGTCACATAGTTGCATTTCTACTGACTATTCCTCTTTTAATGAGCTCTACAACACTATAGTTTCATTATGTGCAAAATGTAATGTTTTATATTAGTAATAAAACTAGTTATCCACTAATATACACTACAGTTTATGGAGCACCTCCTGGGCCTAGGTCCATTCATACATCATCTCCTTAATCCTCATGATAAACTCATTGATTGGACAGGTGGAGTGATTCTGGAAATGTACATCACTTTGCAATGGTGGGACCAAAATGCAAATTCAGATCTGTCGGACATCAAAACTTGAGCACTGTTCTGTGGATGGAGGGAAATGGAAGACACAGAAGGACCAATTCCAGCACTTGGGACCTTTACAATGAAATAGAGAAGACAATAAATACCTATTCAACATTTTTTTTTTTAATACAAAAATTGCCAGGTAATTACAGTTGTGTTGATCTATTAACTAATGGAGGAAGATGAAGAGAATTATGGGGCCAGTTAATATAATCAGGTACAGATTGGAAAGAAAGGATTTTGAATGCGAAAAAAGCTTTGCATGAAGAAAAGAGGGGACGGCATACTAAGTCATGAGTATGCCTGTACAAAAGCTTGGAACACTAATTGGCAAACTTTTATGTCTAGGGTGTGGTAGTAAAGGCTTTGCAGACCATGAGATCTCTGTCATAGCTATTCCTTTTTGCCATTGTGTAGCTATTGTTGCTAAGTGCTGATGAGTCGGTTCCTACTCATGGCGACATTATGTATAGTAGAACAAAACATTGCCCAAATACAAAGATGAACACAAAGGTGATCTCTTCCAATTGA